TTATAGACTTACCTCCACCTCTGTGAACTTACCTGGTATTATGCCTGCGTACCGAGGACCATGGGAAGTGCTGGATGTAGTGGGAGATGCAGATGACCCATCATATGTTATAGACTTACCTCCATCTCTGTGAACTTACCTGGTATTATGCCTCCAAATTGTCTCCTTGTATATCAGACAACTTGTTCCTTTGTGTAGGCCATGCAGACCCATCGACTGCTTAAATCCAGACCAGATCCAACAATTACCTTCAAAAGGTTGCTGAAAACTTAGGACACACCCATCAGAAGATGGTAGAGCAAGCAAACAAGCACCGGCGACCGTCTCAGTTCATTGTGGGTGACTTAGTCTGGGCCAAATCAAAAGAGTTAGCACCAGAAGAAGGCATTTCTGAGAACTTGCTACCTGCGTATCGAGGACCATGGGAAGTATTGGTTATAGTGGGAGATGCAGGCGGCCCGTCATATGTTATAGACATACCTCCACATCTGTGAACCTACCTGGTATTTCATGCCTCCAAATTGTCGCATGTGTATCAGACAACTTGTTCCCTGATGTAGGTCTATGATTCCGCCTGACATGGATGGCAGGTATGACATCAAATGGATAGTCGATCAACATACTTGTGATGACCCTACCAAACGCGGACTGAGACACACAGCTGATTTCCGAGTTTTGCTCATGGACTGAATGCCTTGCTGAGTTTCCCGCTTGCTACTAAGTTCTCTAAGTCTGTGTGTGCACGCTTGCTGGTCTGCATGTCTGTGTGTGTGCACGCTTGCTGGTCTGCATGTCTGTCTGAGCGCTTGTTGGCTTGAGTGATTGCAGCGGGGGAAAACACTGAAGTAGCAGGTAGGCCGGTACCGCATCCTGAAGAGGTAGATGTGCGGGTACTGGAGGCCGAGCAGGAGAAGACAAAAGTGGCAATTTTAGAGGCCCAGTAGTTGTAGGCTAGGTCTACGAGGGTACCAGTCCAACCAGTCTGAGTCTAGGGCCTGTACGGGCAATATCAGAGTCTGCAATGATGTTTCCCTCCGAAAGGGAGGAGGTACCGGTCGCTTGGAAGGCCGAGCGGCGTGGAAGACACCGCCCAAAGAGGCAAGCAGGCCGCTATATCTCCAGGCCGGGCGAAGAGCCCAGCCTCATTGTCGGTGTGGAAGTTTGGCGACACACTGGTTGCAGCACTGGCTGGAGCAGCGCTAGCAAGAGCAGCGCTGCTGGAGAAGGAGCGAGGACACGGAGGAGGAAGAAGAGCAGGAGGAAGGGGGAGCGCCAGAGGTACTTACCTGGCTATGGTGGCAGCCATCTTCATCACGTTGGTGCGCGCTGCAGCAGGAAGACCCCAGCTGGGTTAGAGCTACCAAGAAGCTTCGAGGCAGAGTCAGGCATGGCGGCCTGAGCTGGAGCAGCCAGAGCTGCTTTGGGTTGTCCTTTGGGCATCAGGGCAAGGCCCAGTAGTCCGCCATAGCCTCGGCCTGTGAGCGTGAAGAGTGAGGGAGGCGGCCATGGCTATGGTGGACCTCAAGTGATACCTGCAGTAGAAGAGGGATTCAGCACATCTTCAACGTTCTCATATCTCGTGTATGAGCTTGCGTGTGCTGTGGATGCTGTTGGATTCATCATGCTCATGCACTTAAAAGGGGTGTTGCACTGTGGCATTTTTTTTATTTTCTTTTTCAGCTATCAAAAGTTGGGTGGTTTGTAAGCCTGTATGACGTAGTTTTTTTTGGGGATGTCTTTGTTTTTTTTCTGCAAGGCATCCCGAGTCGCACGGCTGGTAGCCTAGCCTGGTGCACTTGAAATTACACTGTGAATGAGCCTCTAGCCTGGTGTAGTATAACTTCCTCCTGGAACTAAGCCTTATGCCATGAAAGCTATGAAACGGGTATGCGGTAGTCTTGAAGCACCAGTGCACCACACATTGGCCCGCGGGTGTCAGCTTGAAACCCGCACCACTTCGGAGGCCGCCGTTTTTTTTTTTCAACAGCGGGCCTGGCTGTGCGGCGCCTCCAAGTTTTGCGACACAAACTTTCTGCAAGGCTGGGGCCGTGTACTAGCGGTTTAAACGA